CCCCTCAGATGTTTAAAGGGATCCATGATTAGTTGTAACATTAGACTTTATTTGATAAACATATATTTTAACTGTAAAATATCAGATATTGTCCAAGATTAACCTTCAGGGTGGATATACGTAGCTCGCTAGCAGCCTCGCACCGAGGACCTATCCACGTCATCATTTACCCAGAATGCTTTGTGTCTAAATAAAATGGCTCCGTCCGTGTTAAAATATATTTTTAAACTTTTAGTTTGAAAATTATAAAAACTAAACATCCTACAGTATTTTTACAGTCTTTATTTTACAGTTAAAGTATATGTTTATCAAATAAAGTCTAATGTTACAACTAATCATGGATCCCTTTAAACAAAATGTTCACCCCTTCCTGTTTTCACTTCCTGTCCTTGGTCTGGTTACCTGTACTCGAACCCAGATGGTTTAGAAATGATCGTACTGTTGCTCTCCTACAAGTAATAAATGCTTTTCTTTAACAAGTGATTCAGTAATTTCACATCGGCTGGTCCAAAATCCCTGGTTTCTCCTTCTCACACCGGCAGCACGTCTTTAATTGTTGTAAATGTTCTGTTGTGTTGAGCAGAACCAGCATGAATAGGTGGAGCTGTCCTCTTCATCAGGTGTTTACACTGCTGCCCGTTCCTCTCATCTTAAGCAACGACTTCTTTAAATGAGGAGATTGCTCCATAAGTCCCGTCCTGTCGATACGAGCGGCCATAAAGACGCGATCTACACGAGTCATTCATACATGAGGAATTTACATCAGGCTGCTCCAGAGCTGCAGGATCAGTGATGGCCCATATTTCCTCTTCATCGCAGCTAACTGGAGACGGGCTGACAGCACTAAGAGCTGCAGAGCTATAATAGATCAGCGGTGGGCCATCTGCTTGTCACCACTGATTGGGACATAAATGTAACTTGCTGCCTTTTAGAGTCTTCAACAACCCAGAACATTTGGGTTGGAGAACTTTGTCCAGAAGACTCAGAGGTGACCTCCATTTCTCTGAGGGAAACCTGATTGTTGTCGTTCACACGCGCGCACACACACCACTTAATTTCACTAAGAGTGTTTAAGTTTTGCCCATTTTCCACAGCAGGGGGACGATATTAACTGCAATAGAGACACTCGAAATGTTAACAATGAAGGATCAAAATCACAATTACCTTGTTTAAAACAGCAGCTGGTAAATAATGTCCGTGGGCGGTGAAAGGCTTGACGGAGCCCAGATTAAATGTGGTGGTGTTGAACCGAGAGCAGACAGGTTGTTCTGCTGTCACTGATGAAATGTGAGCCTCTGTGGGTTTTTTATGTATCGGTGATGAGATCAGGACCTCTTACATCATTTATCAGACGAGTAGCAGCACAGGTCAAAGCCCGTCCTTAAAGCTACTCATCTCAAAGGATGAAAATCCATCACAAACCAGGTGATCCCGAGCACTCGTTTGAGCCGAGCCACGTGATTGGCCCGCACCGGACCGGCTGTCGTCTGTGCAGGTAAACAAAGGTGGTGGAATCAGACAGGCGTGGAATCTGGGAGAAGACGTTTAGGTGGAAATATAAATCTAAACACAAAACGAAAAGAACAAGACATCAAACCAGACCGAAGTTAAAATAAATCAGTGTTTTTTTTATTTTGAACCAATATTTTTCATCCTTATTTTTCTTTTAATTGACAATAGTAGCAAAGGCGTCTCATCTCAAAGACATTTTTATCCTTTATTGGACAATTAATTTTGAAGAACAGAACTCTGAATRTAGTTAGAGGTCCACTGAGCAGAACTGTGCAGAACTTAGCTGCCAAAATGTCCTGATGCATCTCAGTAATCCAGGTAGAAAAAATCAAATAGAAACAATAAGTAGGTCCTCTGGACGGGTTCTTCTTTAGTGAAATGTTTCGTCTCTCCTCCAAGAGACTTCTTCAGTCTGAGGAGTTTCAGGTGAACTCAGCCTTATAAGCACTGCCTCCACATGGACAAACAGGTTGATCACATGCTAAAGAGGGCCATCACCTAACAATAGGCTTGATTAGTTCTATTGTTCATAGAGGGTCATGTGCCCYATCATCTGACCCGTGTCGTGTTATATGGATGTAGTGAATGCAAGCGGGGGTTCACTCTTTCAGGGATGAAGATGTTCTCATCCTTGATAGAGAGGAACGTTGGTTTGAGAGAGGAGTAAAGGAAGCCATCTTTGTGAAGAAAAACCGTCCACCATTAAACAGAGGTGGAGGCCTTCGTTTCCAGTTGTCCTCCTCCTACAACGCTGTTATTGCAAGTATGACTCCGCCCCCTGTGAGMAAAAGGTGTGAATCAGGGCCCCAACGATAACCAACACAAAGAGGGAGAGAGGGACAAAAACAAGGGGATGTCGAGCCCCGCTTGCATTCACTACATTGACATAACACGACACCTAAGAACCACAGCATCCAAACCAATAAGTCAGATGATGGGTCACATGACCCTCTATGAATAGAACTAATCAAGCCTATTGTTAGTCGATGGCCCTCTTTTGCATGTGATCAACCTGTTTGTCCATGTGGAGGCGGAGCTTATAAGGCTGAGTTCACCTGAAACTCATCAGACTGAAGAAGTCTCTTGGAGGAGAGATGAAACGTTTCACTAAAGCAGAACCCATCCAGAGGACCTACTTATTTTCTCTTTTTGATTAGCTGCCAAAGTGGGTGCTAAAGTCATAACGGTCAGATTACACGTGGGAACTCAGCAGAGCCACAATGTGGGACTCTAAACGTGGTTTTAAAGCCTCACTGGATGGAACTACGCTCCGCAGTGTTTCCTTGTGGTGTGTTTTGTATCTCCCTGCAGGATTAGTCTGGATTCTAACAAAAAACCTGGTTCTTATTGGGTTTGTTTACGGCATTGACTCGGTCCTGGTCCCAGAAGGACCTGTAGAGCAAATATGACAGAAGGTCTGGATTTAAAACTTACTGAACCATCAGTCCTCTGACTTTTTTCTGAAAATATTCGGGAAAAAGTTGTTTATTTTTGGTTCAAATGAAGGTTGTTTTTGTGCATTTTATCTTCGGTTTGAGGCCTCATTTTAGCAACTTGAGCTGACGTTCTGTCCAGATGTGTCTGCAGACGAGGCTTCAGCTCTTGTTTTTCTTTAAGAGGCTCTTTTTAGGCGACCTGTGCGGTTCGCACAGGCCTCAGCAGACCGTCGCACAATAAAATGAACAACGCTCACCGAGATACAAACACCAGACATCTGCGGGGCACAGCGTTGTGTTTCTGCTCAGGCCCGAGAAAACAGCTGCAGGGTGGCTCTAAAATATTTATCACAGTTTTTAWAGTGTTTTTGTCCGTCTCTTCTGCTGGATTTACACTTCCAGTCAAGACTCTGTATGATGTCATGGGGAGAAAACAGGAGGCTTAAATAAAGAGCTGCAGGAAAATGATTCAGTTACCGTTGAAAAGAAGTTTGGCCTTCGCTGCCGTAGAACCAACACCAGCGCTCAGTAAATGGGATTCAGATTTATGAGCATGACTTTGCGAATTTTCAGTTCCAGTGAGTCGGTGGAATCAAATCTGGAGCCGTCGGAGCAGAAAATCCCACCAGGACTCAGATCTGCGAGAGATAAAGCGCCGCGTCATCGTATTAATGCGAGTTCCCGCAGTCCTCGGTGAACAGCAGGCCTGGAACGAGAGGGGAGTGATTAAACCGTGAAGAATACGTCGTTGGAATTATCTCACATTCATCAGTTATCCAGAACATGCTCCGCCRGTTAAACACACCGATTATGATCCAGATGGAGTCGTCTGCTCCGTCAGGCTCCGAGGGCGCGGCCTTTCCTCTTCCTCACCTGATTTATTGACCTCGGCCAGGCGAACTGGAGAAGGAGAGGAGAACTTGTATGAGTCACTGTTTTTAACAGAAGAATTCTGTCAGATTGTGGTGTTTAATCTGTGAGCATTGGGATTATTTCAGACAGATTTAAAGTACCTCTGACAAGAATTTTTTGTAATAAACATGAATGCATTTTTGGAAAGATAACGATGATAAAATATTGCAAAACAAATTTCACGCCGCTGAGATGAACCGTTGTTGAGATATTTGCATGTGATGAAACAGGAAGTGATGTCAAAGGGGAATGTCTGCATGTAAACAGAGCGTTGTTACAAAAGCTAACACAGGCTGTAGAGAAGAATGATGTTTCTTTACATTATTTTGAGTCACTATCAGAGACATGAAGAAGAGTTAAAGCTTAAATAATTTTATTTTAATAAACAAAGACCAGACAGTTAATTTTATTAAAGAGTTCCCCATTGATGTCACTTCCTGTTTCACTTTGACTCAGTCAAATCCAAAAGAAAATAGGCCAGTTATGAGACAAAATGGCTAAAGTCATATGTATTATGCCAATTTTCTTAAGTTTAAAGATGTTTATTTGAAGGATAGGCATCTCACAAGCTGCGTTTCCATCGACCATGAAAATGCGCAAATTAGAATTTCAAAAATAAATTTGCTCAATGGAAACACGTCAAGTTAAGAAAAAAAATACATTTGCGCTAGGATGAGGTGGTATTTCGGCCGTATCGAAATTGGTGTTTTTCGCAAAACTGCAATGGAAAC